AAAAGAAAGAAAGAAAAAAAAGAAAAGAAAAGAACATGGTAGCCACAGGCAACAGAACAGAACAGAACAGAATAGAATAGAATAGAATAGAATAGAATAGAATAGAATAGAATAGAATAGAATAGAATAGAATAGAATAGAAAATAGAATAGGATCAAGCTCACCTGAGTATAACTATATTACCTTTGTTGACATAAAAACCACAGGTCTTGTCTTAAAGGGAATAAAAGAGTTTATTCTTGAGCCATTTTTAGTGTCACGGCCCAGGAACACAGACTTAGGTCACCCCAAATTCCATGTTCCAATGTGAAAGCAGTTTTATGAAGTTTTATAAATTCATAGAACAAAAATAATCATAAATCAAGACAAGTTTAAAATATATTGGTGGGTACATCAGAGGCAGGTACAGCAAGATGGGGGAAGATGCTCTCTTAGCTTTTGGTGGAAGCTAGTAATATGCTAAGTTAATAGATTATGAAGGGTTTTTATCTATTAGTCACAAGATCTTATTTCTTAGGGGTAGGCAAGGAATGGCTGTCCTGGAGAGCTAGAACTAGCCCAAGATAAGGTAGTTAGCCTCAAGTGCATTCAACATCCCAGTCAGTCTCTGCAAGCAAAGCTGTTTTCCTGGAGTTTTTGTTCAGACTTTTTCATTTCTACCTTTGTGACCTCAAAGGAGATACTCTGTGTCTCTGTATCTCTGTTTGCTGTGTTGCAAAATGAGTAAGAAATGGCATGTATGCCTCCCAGCTCAGCATCTGTACATTAGATTCTAGGAAAATACATGCTACTTTGTCTCTTGTGTCCTCTACAGAAGAAATTGTTTCATTCCTTCAGTATAGAAACATTATTCCTCTCATTCTGAGCACTGAGAGGGGTGAAAGAGGGACTGATGAGATGGCTCAGTGGTTGAGTGTACTGGCTGCACTTGCAGAGGATGCATTCAGTTTCCAGCACTCAAATGGCAGCTCATCACCATATATAACTCCAATTTCAAGGAGTCTGATGCCCCCTATGGCTTCTATGGCATTATAGGTGTGTGGTACATATACATATATGTAGGCAAACACTCGTACACTTAAAATGAAAATAAATCAATCTGTTAAGACAGGCAATGGAAGGAAAGAAGGAATGGTCTCTCCTTCAGGAGATAACTACCCAAGCTGTGAGTAAAAATGATGAGCTAATAGCCAGTGCTACATAGCAATGACCAGTGAGAAGCCAGGCAGATTCTTTCTTTGGGGAGAAGCAAGCTTGAGATGAGGAGGTAAAATTGACACTGAAACCTGAGTGACAAGAAAGCCAGCTGTAGTCAAGCAAGGGAGATACATTCCAGGTAGAAAATGTACCTGGTGCAAAGGCACAGAGGCAGGTCCAGTTTGAAGAACAGGGTAGGGACTAGTGGTTGAGAGAAAGAAGACACAGCAGGTAATAATAATCAGATGGAAGGACATGTGAGCTTACAAACAGTCCTTTGTAAACTAAGGAAAAAGTGTCTGAATCTAGAGTTTCCTTCTGAGACTGGCAAGGCTTTTATTGCTATCTTAAATGTTTTGAGATGTCTTTTAGAATCCCCGTGGAAGGTCATGAGACCTTCTTGGCCTTTGATGGAGTAACTGATCACAATACCACTTTGGAATCACACTGAAGTTGCTACTTGCTCCAGCTCTTCTCCTTGTCCTCCTAGACTCCTTCTCACTATCTACAGTTCACTGCTGGCAACAGAGAAGGGAAGCCAGAAAGCACTTGAGTCTCTCGGGCTCTGAGAAGCACTATTTCCATTCACCGCATTTCCCCCAGCTTTTCTCTTTGCCTAAATCAGAGTTTGTTCTCACCACTGATGGTTGAGTGCCTGCTTGGAGTTTTCTCCCAAATGCACAGTGTAAACTCTCTTCCATCATTTCCCCTCTGTCACTGACTACCCATCATCTGCATCCCTGATTTCTCAGTGTTAACTTTAAGTACTTCAAAGCCTGTCAGCCTCCTCCTTTCCCTGTATCCAGAGGATGTAGCAGTCACTTTCTGCCCTTTTCAGAACCTGGAACTGTGCTTGATTGTTCATTATGTATATGCAAATGCAAGCCATAGTCCAAGGGCTTGGCAGTGCCCTGATATGGACATCAGACACTGAGCCATATACAAGCTGCCACTTAATAACTCCTGGTAAAGCAGAGAGAACAGGCTTTCCAGGTCTGAGGGTGCCCTGCTCTAAGCATTCAGCACCCCAGCCTCTCCCCACCAAGTGCCATGTACCAGCCACACACACACCCCCATTGGTCTTATATATGTGTGCTTTCCACCACCTAGAATACCTTGTCTCTCTCTGCCTGGCATGTTTAAATTTTCTCATTTAAATGGCGACCCAGAGTAACCCCTTAAGTCAAATTCTGTGATCTATCTCATTTTCTTTCCATCAGAGAATTCACTACTATCTGCAATTACATAGACTGCTTCTTTCCTCATTCCACCCACCAACCCGAAATATAAGGCTTCTAGGTTGGAGACTTTGAACCATTCTCCTCTCAAATCCAATCCTAGAACAGAACCAGGCATATGATAAATGCTCACAGAATGAACCTAGTGAACAATTAGAGAAATACAACACCAGGTAAAAGGAAAGGCAGGCAAGTGAAGAGGCAGGGGCAGAAAACAGTGTGATGTTGGCTTCTGTTTGATAGTATTTCATACTGCAAGCTACAGCACAAGGGCTTTGGCTGGGTTGGGAGTTTGGGCTGTTGATTTTATAGGCATGGTCACATTTACATTTGAGAGAAGTCAATGCAGAGAACAAAATTAGAAAGATAAGACTGGACACAGGAAAGCCATTTAGAGACTATGTTCCAGTCCAGGTAAAGAGATGATAATGGGGTTGAACTTGGCCAGGAGCACCAGGAATATAGAGCTCAGCTGGAATGATTTGTCGATTCTAAGGACAGAGGAAAAGGTATAGCTAGCACTCATGAAGGCAGCAGGGTCCTGTACGCTGCCTTACAGATAACTTTGTTGGCTAAATTGCAGGCTGAATCATCCAGCAGAGACAGAGGCTACATGAGGAGATAGACAGTCTGTGGACATTGCACTCCTAGTGGCCTAGCTCTGTGGGAAGTCCACCACCTGGGCAAGAGTGAGGTAAAAACAAAGGCAAACAGCGTCAAATCCAGGGTCCTGTCCGAAGCTGATGCTTTGAACTCTAGGAAGAGTCCATCAGAGCTGACACAGTGCACAGATGGCTGTGAGTCTGAAGGAAGCAGTCAAGACCCACTTCACTTGACCCTGATGGGAACGGGTTCCATGGCATTCAATACAAGCCTCAAGACTTAATCCTCTACCCAGCAGATGCTCACTGAGTTGCCAGATACAGGGCTAGTGATGGGACAAGATGCTCTTAAGATTTCACAGTGTTTGTCTCCTAGGGAATGCAGACAGGCATGAAGCTATCATAGGGTGGCAAGTGCCAGCATTGTAGCAGTGCTCTGAGAGTACACTGGGAAAGAGTGTACTTAGTCACATGGCTAAGAGAGAGAATTTCAGTGAGAGAGATATACTGAAGGAAGATTTTTTTAAAATATATTTCCCCCAATATTTGAACCTAAAGTACCATGCATTATAGGCAGACACTCTATGACGACACCCCTAATCTCTTTGTTTTTCTAAGTTTGGCTTTCATTTTATTTTAAGATGAAAGTTTTGCTAGGTTTCCTAGACTAGCCTCGTGCTCACTCTGTAGTCCAGGCTAGATCTAAATATGTGATCCTTCTGCTCCCCCAAGTGTTATGATTGCAGGCCTGCAGCTCAAGATGTGGCCAGGAGCTTAGATCTGAAGGCTGGATAAGTAGGAATGTGGAGTCTACAGTGTGGACTATGTGGGAAGAAGAAGTGGAGATCAGGTAGACACAGGTTATAAAGGATGCCATTTTCATGCCTGCTCAGCTGTTTCTTCAGTGGTGGTAGTGAGTGATGGTGATGATGAGTGTGTGAAACCTCTAGAGATTAGAAACCTTCATTTAATAGACAAAAGACCTCAGCAAAATTCCATAAATGCTCTTAGCCCCTGGATTTACCATCTGATCAATGGGGACAGGGATGTCTTCCTGAGTGTTTCCTGGCATAACATCTAAAGAGAAGGTCTTGCTTTGAGGAACATTGCATGCACTGGGATTTAACTTTTGTCTGAAGGTGACTGTCATTTCCTGAATAGGCATCAGG